GGGGGGGGCGGCGCCGCGCTTGTGGCCCCTGGGACTGAAAGACCTGCCTGAACGTGAGCCTCCTGCCACGGGGTTACTCTCGGGTCGTCATCCTACCCTTCACCCTTCTCAGTTGTTGTTTGGGAAGGAACAGGTGATTGCTTTAGTAATGTTTTCAGTATTGGGTCCCCGTTTACATGGATATGAACATGCCCTGCCCTGACGTCTCTGATGAGCACCACACCTGCTTCTCTGACAGCCTCGTCCGTGGTCACTGAAATTCCACACGTCTAACTGGAACTCTTGTTTCACTCTCCTGTCCTAACCTATTCCTCTGTCAGTCATACCCATTTCAGTGAATGACACCATCCATCTGATTGCTTCATCCAAAAGTGTAGGTAGGAGTCATTCTTGGGTCCTCCTTTTCCTTCACTTCTTAAGTCTGTCTAAATCTTGCCAGCTCTACTTTCAAGATAAATTCAGAATCAGACCACGTTACGCCTTTGTTTACAACACTCCAGTTATTTTGCATTGCAAACTCCATACCCTGACCTACAGGGCTGTGCTCTCTCATCACTGTCCTGCATCCGTTCTTTTTTCCTGTTTCTCTAAAAGGCAAGCTTCTTCCCACTTGAGGAATTTGTACCGTTTCCTTTGCCTCTGTTCCTAAATCTGCATGGATGGCTCCTTGTCATTTAGGTCTCAGGTCAAACATCAAGTCCTTAGTGAAGCCTTTCCTGGCTACCCAATGGTTGTTTATTTCATTCAACAACTATTGTACTTATTGACATTTAGCATCTCCTGTACACCAGGCAGTGCTAAGAATGCAGAGGTGAACAAAGGAAAACCCTTGCTTTCTTGGTGCCAGTGATAACATTCAGGAATGAACAGACATAGTGCAATCAGAAGAGTGATCAAAGGGACAGTAGTAGAAGAGAGGAGAGGTGGTGGTGGGAGGGGCTCTGGAAGGAGTTTGGACTTCATCAGAGTATGTTGAGAAGTCTTTGGACTCTCTGGGGAGGAGGGCAGTTAGGCTATTGCAATAATTCAGTCAAGAAACGATGGTGGCTTGGGGCGCCTGCGTGGCTCAGTTGGTTGAGCGTCTGTTTGGGGTCCTGGGATCGGGCCCTGCCTCGTGGGCTCCCTGCTTGGAGGAGAGCCTGCTTCTCCCTCTCTCTCTGACCCACCTCCCCTCTTGTGCACGGGCTTTCTCTCTCTCTGTCTCAAATAAAAAAAAAATGATGGTGGCTCGAATGGGGTTGGTAATATGTCCATTTTGACAAGATTTGGCCATACTCGTGATTATTTTATATTTGTTCTGTTTATTAAAATGGGGCTTTCTTGGTTGTTATGTCATCTAAGGAATGGAATTTGAACAGCTCTAAAATTAAAGGACAAAAAAGAACAAAGTGTTTATAACTGAAGGTACTAGCACACAGCTTGGTTGATTTTGGTTGTACCTGGTGCTTTTCTGGTATCATTTACCTTAAATGTTTGCAGGGCTAACCCCTAATTGAGGTTTCTGCTCAAATGCTACCGCCTCAGAAAGACTTTACCTACTTTCTGTTTTTAAGAGCCCCTCCGTCACTCCTGACTCCCTACCCTGCTTTTTGTCTTCGTGGCCCTTTTTCCTATCTGACTTTTTAAAATTTTATCAATATATTCATTTATTTACTTTCTTTCTTTCCCCACTGGAATATAAACTCCAAGAAAACAGAGACTTTTTCTGTTTCTTTCACTGCTTTATGATGGCTTGGGCTGCTGGGCCCATGCTCATTTGCCTGATTGATTTGTTTCAAATTTATTTCAAGTAGCAAAGACTGACATTGTTGTTTCTCCCTTGCTTCCTAGGAGATAGATCCCTGAAAGGAACCTGTCCCACTACTGCAACCAAACCAGATGCCTTCTTTCACTTCACCAGACCAAGGAGATGACCTGGAGGCCTGTGTTTTAAGATTTTCAGACCTAGATTTAAAAGACACAAGGCTTATCAATCCCAGTAGCGGACTCAAAGCAGAGTTAGATGTCAGTACAAAGAAGAAATACTCGTTTGCCAAGAAAAAGGTAAAATTGCTGTATTGCACTTGATGTTTCAGGATTGTGTATGTATAGTTAACTCAGATACATCTATTAGTAGCTCATCGATCATCAGGGTTTTCCTCCAGGGAGTAGAGGGTTAGTGAGACAGGAGGCTGCTGCCATGTTCAAGGTAAGTTCTAGTCAGGGTCATGATCCAATGATCTTAAGTCAGTGCCGGGCAAAGAAGAATCATGGGCAAGGTGTAGCTATGCAACACTTATGGTTGAGTACTTGAGGACAGATCCTAGACAGGTGGGCTGGGTTCCTTTTCCCATCCAGGGTTAGAATCACAGGAACCCAGGAGACCTTGTCATAAGGAGAACAGACAGGCAGAGGGGTAGTGGCCATGTAAGACTCCTGATCTGATCTAGTTGGCTGGGTTCTCTTGGTTTAGGAGAAGGCTAGAACAGCCCAGAATGGTTGTGCAAGCTTACTGAGGACAGTTGGGATTGGATTATAATGGGAGGTCATAATGATATGCTGCTCTTCTATGCCATTTATCCTTTTTTCAGAGATCATTGACTCAAACCTTGTCCTCTTGAAGCTCATAGGAAGGAAAATGACCTGAGGACATGCAACTGAGACTTAGTTTTCTTACCTCCAGTCTGCTGTCCTTCTGCAGTTAGCTTTTGTTGGCTTCATGTCAATGAAGAATAGATGTCTCTGCTTATAACTTCTTACCCACCACCCCTCTGCTCTCATCTCACACTGATGTCCTTGAAAATGAAACCCAAAGGGTACAGAAAGGTTTTTTCAAATATTATTTTGCAATAATTTCAGACTTGGAGAAAAGTTGCCAGAATTGTATAGAGGACCCTCATATCCCCTTTGCACATAGGCTCCATTCATATTTCATCAAGTGTCCCAAATGGCTCTTATAGATCCACTCTAGGGTCACATGTTACATTGAGTTGTCACGTCTTATATCTTCTTCAGTCTGGAGCACTCTCATTTTTTCTCCTTTGAAATCATGACCATGACATCTTTGAAGATTTCATGAGTTACTTTGTAGAATATCCCTTTGCTTGATTTTCACTCATGTTTCCTTACAGTTAAGATTCAGATTAGTGCTTTTATCAACAAGAGAATCCCACAAGAGATGCTGTGTTCACGTGGCTACAATCTATCAGGTGGTTCATAGTAGCAATTTGTCCCATTACTGGGAATGTTAACTTTGGTTACTTGATTAAGGGAGTGTCTGTCGGATTTTTCTGCTATAAAATTATTATTTTTTTCCCTTTTAATTACTCAGTATTTGGGGGGGGGAATGCTTTGAGACGGTGTAATTATCTTATTCCTCATCCAACTTTCATCTACTAGTTTTAGATTCTTTGATGTTTCTTTGCTTAGTTGATACTGTGATGGTTGCCAAAGGGTGATTTTCTTGATTTTCTAATTTCTGTGTTCCTTCTAGACTTAGTGTTTGGCATTCTGCTCTAAGGAAGAACTTTCTCTTCTCCCAATTTATTTCTTTCTGTGTGGACTCACATTACATTTTATTTGTGGAGTTATAGTCCATTATGTTGTTATTTATTTTGATGCTCACATCATCTCAGATTTGGCTGGGAGCCCTTTCAAGCTAGTATCTATATCCTTTTGACTTGCTCCCATCACTCTTTGAGCATTTCCTCACTTTCTGACTCAACAAGGTATTCCAGGCTTATCTTGTATTTTTCCTGACCTGTCCTTGGAATCAGACATTTCTTCAAGGAGCTCTGGTTCCTTCTAGCAGAGGACTGTCAAAAAGCAAAACCTGGAGGCTCGGGAAGCTCACTGCCACTAAGTGTTGCCTCTCCCAGGACCTCTGGCATAGGGAGATACATAGATGAATACACAAATGTTTGTATGTACTGTGCATATACTTCTGTATTTACTACCATCTCAATAGTAACCACACCACGAGCACATCATCAGTGCTTTCAGTTCCATTCCAGCCTCACAAGAGTTTGTCCTAACTCTCCCTTCCCCGTATTCGTAACTTCCCTATTTGATGAGACTTGGCCTGGTCCTCTTGGCCCCAGTGTCTTTTCTTACTTGCTTATTCTCCTGTATGTACTCGGTGTACCTGCCCTGCCAAGCTGCCTCCCTACCAGGGCCTGCCTTCCCCTTGTATGCCTCCCCCACCTCCGAGCTGCCATCCTGGCCCTGGTCTGTCTTTCCTTGAACAGATTCCACGTGGGCCCTAACTGCTGCTGGGCCCTCAGTGCCTTGGTCACGAGGCCTTAAAAGACCAGGTAAGATTCGAAAATCGAAGTTTAACATGAAGAAGCACTTACGTTGACGTACATGCTCTCTCTCTCTTTTTAACTTTTTTCCCATTTGGAAGGATTAACGTCAAGAAAGTCTAAAAAATGCTCTCCAGTGTAATTTCCTGCTGCTTCAGTCTGGGACAGTCCAGATACAGTTGTGTGCTAGAGGATGGTCCCACAGTGGTGCTTCATATGTTACCAGGGCTTAGAGTGCCTATGTTTGGATGCTTTACAGTAGTCTCCAGATGCATTAAAGAAGTTAGAACACACACACACACACACACACACACACACACACACACACACACACAGAGGTATATATAAATACCTCCCTCCCCATTAGACCAGAAAGGAACAATTGTTGAGAGGCTGATAATCATAGATCCCATTCAGCCTCTATTTGTACATCAAAAATACCACAAAGTTGAAAAACATGACCAACTGGGAAACAAATTTGTGATAACTATGATCAACAAAAGGTCACTAAAACCACTTACAAATCAGGAAGAAAATAAATGCCACAGTAGAGAAATAGGCAACAGATACAAGAACAAGGAATTGATATGAAAAAATATTCAGCCTTACAATCAAAGACATGCAGATAAAAACAATATATCTCTTTTGCCTTGTATTCAGGTCAACACTAAAAATATTGACAATAAAAATTAAATGCTGATAAAACTTGATGATGTGGATAAAATGTCACCTTGTTGGTGAGCATATAAACGGGTACGATTTTTCTGGAAGTCAGTGTTTATCACAATTTTAAGTTTCATGTTTCTTCGCCCCAAAAGTTTTATTCTAGATGTTTATTTAAAGTAGATGGTTAAAGAGGTATAGAAAGATGTATGCATGGAATGCTCATTCAACATTGCTTATAATTGCAAATATTGGAAACAAAAAAATGGCCATTAGTTAGGAATTGGTTAAGAGAATTATGGTACATCCATAGTTTTCTGTTTAATTTTTTTAAACAATGAGTATAAATCATTTTCATAAAAGCAATAAAATTGTTTTCCAGGAAACAAGTCAAAACATCTTGCTATATTTCTTTCCAGTCTTTTTCAGTGCACTTTTTAATGTAGTTGAGATTACGTCATATAAGCAAATTTGATCCATTGTTTTCATTTAACATTATATCATAAATATTTTCCCACATGACTTAAAACTAGCTCCTCAATATTCCATATTAAGTATGCTCCATAATTTCCTTGACCATTTCCTTTTAAGAAATGACTGATAGTGTTGTTTGTAATGTTTTACTAATAGTTGTCTGAAATTCAAGCCTTTCCTTAAGACCAATCCCTAACAAATTTTAGATTGAGGTAAAAAGTTTACGAAGAAAACTGTTACTCTCAGGAAGTTCTTCTGTAGAAAAATAGGACATAAAACTAGAAACCCATGTGGAAAGATAATATAAGGGATTCACCAAGACTTCTGCCAACTTTAAAATTAAGGTTAATGGTGGCATATTTGAAATGTAATTGCAGGCATTTGCCCTTTTCGTCAAAACCAAAGAAGTTCCAGCACGTCCTTTTGAATGTAAAGAAAAATGGTGGAAATGCTGTCAACAGCTCTTCAGAGACCGGATCAGCATCCACAGACATGTGGCAATACAACATGCTGATGAGATTTGCCACCAGACTGCTTCTGTGTTAAAGCAGCTGGCTGTGACACCGAACACCTCAAAGAGCCTTAAGTCTGAAGACAGTAGGAACCCTCTAAAAGAGTACTTTACCTATAATCGTGAAGTGTCTGCTTGGCTCCCTGATATAAGCTGCTTTAGCCCTGATGAGCTGATAAGGTAAGAATTTCATTCTGTACTTTGATTTAATTTTAAAAGTTTTTCCAGTCACAGTGAGACACCACTACCTAGCCAGGAAAATGGCAAGATCTTTAAGGCACAGAATTTCTCTATGGGCCTAAGTGAGGCCAGTAACCACATACTGTGTATCCCAGAAGCAGTAGCACGTACCCACGCAGCTGCAGCGTTCACTACGTTCCGTGGAAGGCTACATCTAATCTTCTCTAGGGAGAGGTAATGAACAGAACATTGTATTATTTTTCAGAGAGAAATTGGAAGGCTCAGAAATGTTAATGATCCCTCTACCCTGAATAACATTAGAGCTTAAAAAACGGTTTTTGTTACCAAATGTTCTCTGAGTTGAGTATGTTTTAGAAAGGATGTTAACTTTTAGAACTGGGGCATAGGATTAGAAGTTTAGATCCTGTCTTTGAAAAACTCACCAAATTATGTGACAGGATTCTAGAGGACAAATTTCTGGTTTTAAGCAATTTCTGAACTATTTGGTCAATAGAAAATGTCCAAATTTGATATACTTTTGTCATTAGTATTCAGTTTCCCCTGCCTTTGAAAAACTCACCAAATTATATATATTGTTATATATTCCCGTTGTTTACCAAGAAAAAGGAGCAAGTTGGAGAATTGAACTTGGATTCAGAATTGAGCTAGTCACTCAAACTCTTGGTACCTTTATTTCCTCACCTCTAAAGTAGGAATAATGATGCCTGCCCTGCTTACCACACAGTGTTACTATATGAATTATATAAAATGGGGATGGTAAGAGCATTGCTGAACTACAAGATGCTGCACAAACATGGCCTTTTTGTCTCTGTACAGCCCTGTGCCTTAAGGAATTTGCTTTCTAGTGAGAGAAACAAAGGATACATGAAACAATTAGCAGATGATATGAGGCAGGCTACCTAATGATCAGTTAAATTGTGTGGTGCAGATCATAATTTGTTACAGCAGTTCAGAGAAAGGAAAATAGGTTCTAAAATAGACACAGTTTCAGAGGAGAGTCTTCCCTGCAATATGATGAGGATATTGATGAGAGTGTCAGATTCCAGAGTTGGATGGGACCTTAATTATCATCTACCAGAGCATTCTCTAAAATAAGTTCTATGCAACACCAGTTCTGAAGGATGCTAACAGGTATTGAAAAGAGCTGCTAAAGACAAGTAAGGTTGGGAAGCACTGGCTTAAAATGTCCTTTATTGGAGGACTTTTCAGAGCCTTCAATAGATAAGGGGCTTTCACTGAGATTCTTAACGAGGGAGATACTGTCTGCAGGGTTTCGCCAACATGTAATTTCATAGAGTAGCTTCAGAGCATAAGTGGGAAATGCAGTTTATTTCACTTCTCTGGTCATACAGATGAGGAAATCAGTCTAAGAGATGATAAGAGACCTGCCCAGGTCCCAGGACTAGTAAGTATAAGACAGCACAGTGCAGCAGAAAGAGTATGGATTCTAGGTTCAGAAGACTGTTGTCTGAGTCTTGACTGTCACTCTGTAGCTGACTCACCTGGGAGGAATTGGCCTTGGTTTACTCAGCTCTAAAGTGGGGATAATAATAATCCTTTTCATGGTTAAGAGGATTACATGAAAAAAATGGAAGTGAAACCTTATATGATGATGAAATGAGGAAATCAGAGTAAACTCACCTTTTGTAAAGTAAGTTGGGTGCAGATAATGTCTTCTTCAGAGCAAATACTGACAGGAGTTGCTTCTTATTTCAGAACAAAGTTCAGCTCCATCTCGGCCTTCCCTCTGACATCGCCTGGGTATACTTTGTGAATTGTGGCTTCTTTATGCCAGTGACTCAGATGCTTTTCCCTGTGGTTTTCTTCTTCTAGCAGCCAGGGCAGTGATGGAGGAGAGGTGCTACTTTATTACTGCTACCGTGACCTGGAGGACCCCCACTGGGTGTGTGCCTGGCAGACAGCTCTGTGTCAACACCTGTCCCTCACGGGCAAGGTAACACCTCTCACACCCCATCCTTCGTGGGACTCCTCTTGTCTCCAGTTTGGATTACAGAGGCTGTGCTGGAGACAAAAAGGATTCACTGTTAGGTTCTTAGAAGTCCGAGAAATCCTACAAGGCTTTTAAGTAGACTACCAAACAGTTATTAGCATTGCCTTTTATGACAGTATTTAATGGACTAAGAGTCAGCAAACTTTCTTACAGAGCAAAATAGTGAGTATTTTAGGCTTTGCACAAAAACTACTCACTCCTGCTTCTATTAAACCCTAAAATTGTGGAATTGTGAAGAAATTATAACAAGATACAGTTGGGTTAATTATGCAATGTTTCTTATCAATTGTCTAGCCGTTGTATATTGTTTAAAAACAAAAAGTGTAAAACTTTATGATCTTGACTGCTAGATATGCTGTTCTTTGGTAGAAAATTCCTATAGTCTGTATTCAAGAAGTGTCTAAAATCGATTTTGTTGATTCTTTTAAGACTTCATTTATTTAGAGAGAGAGAGTGTGAGTGGAGGGAGGGGCAAAGGGAAAGGGAGAGAGAACCCCAAGTAGACTCCACACTGAGCACGGAGCCTGACGTGGGGCTCAATCTCATAACCCCGGGGTCATGACCTGAGCTGAAACCAAGGGTCGGACACTTAACGGACTAAGCCACCCAGGCACCCCTGATTTTGTTGATTTTTAAGTCCATCTAATAAATTATATGTTTCCTAAACAAACAAAACCTACTCAGCCTTGCCATTGTAACATGAAAACAACCATAAACAATAGGTATAAGAATAGGTATGGCTGTGTCCCCATAAAACTGTATGCAGAAGCAGATGCAGTTTGCTGACCCCTGGCATTAGGAAATGTTCTTGATATGTTAGCTGGAAAAAAATTCACAGAACTATACATACAGTATGATTCCAAGTTGCTTCTTAATTTTCCTAGAACATGCCAGGGTCTTTTACCAGTTGGTGGTGTTAACATTTGCTTTTCCTTCTCTTTAGAATGCTTTCCCCCTAGATCTTTGCTTGGCTCATCCCTCACTTCAGATCTCTGCCTGCATACATCTTATCTCCTCAGAACTCTGATCCAAAGTGGTCCTCTCTCTAAATCTTATCACCTCCTTCTGCTCGGAGAGTATCAATGAATTTGTTAACATCTGAAAGTATAATATTTGTTTAATTTGTTACAATCTGTCTCCCTAATAAAAGCTTGGTGAGGACAGGAACTTTGTCTTAATTAATTGATGTATTCTTAGTGCTAGAACAGGGCTTGGCACATAGCAGACAATAACTATTCAGGGAGTGTTGAATAAAGGACTGAATATATTTTGTTCGTAACAAAACCACAAGTGTTTGTGTGTAAAGATGGAAGGTAGTAGATAGCAAAATGTTAATCATGATTATGTCTGCATGATAAGACTGTGGATGGTTTTTATTTTCCTAAAACATTCTTTTTTTCTTTTTTTTTAAAGGGAGGTGAGGCACCTGGGTGGCTCAGTCGGTTAAGTGTCCGACTCTTGATTTTGGCTCAGGTTGTGATCTCAGGGTTGTGAAATTGAGCCCAATGATGGGCTCTGCGCTAAGTGTGGGATGTACTTAAGATTCTCTCTTTCCCTCTCCCTCTACCCCGCCCCCGTGCAGGAGCTCACTTTCTCTCTCTACAAAAAGGTGGGGACGGGGGCGGGGGAGAGCGAGTTAGGGGGGCTCCATCTCACAACCCTGAGATCATGACCTGAGCAGAAATCAAGAGTTGGATACTTAACTAACTGAGCCACCCAGGCGCTCCTTTTCTAAAGCATTCTTGATGATTACATACACACACACACACACACACACACAGACATAGATTTATATATGCATATACGTATCTGCATACAAACATATATATGTAAAAACAGAACGAGAGATGATATAGTTTTGTAAACTTAAAAGGAAATGAACTAGGTTCATTCTGAGGTCCCCTTGGGGAATGGGCACTGTACTATCTTAAGCCTATTCTTTTCCACAGATGTTTTAAGTCCCCGAGGCAGTCGTTTGATCAGTGATGTTTTCCACACCCATGTTTCCTAAAAGATGGTGCCAAAAGCTTCCTTTACCTCATTCAGTTCATTATCACGTCCTGCCCTTTCTACCCTCTACAATATCCCTTGCCTCCATTCACTCCCCGTCCCCTTCCACCACCTGAGACCACTCTCTCGTCCACTTCAGTAGCTTTTAAACCATCTTGTTCTGTCCTTGTCTGCCATTTAACCCATTCTCTACCCTGCAGACGGAATCATCTTAAGAGGTGAATTAAACACTGCTGCTCAGAATCTCTCAGTGGCCGTCACTGCATTTAGAGTGAAGCCCAGATCCTTCCCATACCCTTAGGTTCCTGCATGATTTGCCCCTTCCTGCCTCTTCTGTCTACCTGATGTCATTCTTCACTCCCCATACTCCAGCAACATGCACAGTCTTTCAGTTTTTTGGAGCCCACAAAGGTTTTGTGTGTGTTTTTTTTTTTTTTTTTTGTATCTTTGGGCTTTTTTTCCATGCAAATTCTCTTCAAGGAACTCTCACATACCCACTCAGTTTCACCTGTAAAATTTCTACTCAATCTTCAGTTCTCAGTTTCAATGATACTTCCTCAAAGAGAACTTTCTTGACCTTTAGTCTAAGTTCACTTTTCCCAGTATGCTCTAGCATAGCATCTTGTGGTTATTTTTCATAGCTCTTGTCATTTTGTAACTTTTTTCTTAATATCTGTGACCCTCCCTAGTCTGTAAGCTCTAAGAGGGCAAGAACTCTTTTTTTAATTTTTTTTTTTTAACTGCTAGAGCCTTAACTCCTAACACAATTCCTGGCGCATAGTAAAAAAAAAAAAAAAAGTAGTAAACATTTGTGGAATGAATACCTTTTTAAAAAACTTTTTAAAGTAGGCTCCACGTCCGGTGTGGAGCCCGACATGGGGCTCCAACTCACAACCATGAGATCAAGACCTGAGCCAAAATCGAGTCCGACACTTAACTGACTGAGCCACCCAGGTGCCCCTGGAATGAATTACATTTATTGTCACCTCTATTTAGAGAACACCCTGAAAGATGGATGTTCTCACAGTGAACCTGAATGTACAAAATATGAAATCAATCTCTTTCCTTGTTTGGGGGACAGATTTTTATTCTTAGCCCAGCCTGAGGTGAATTAGCAATGAGGGTCCTACCCACAAGGTGGCAGCACCTGCCTGCATCTTGGTCTAAATCCTTGGGCTTCAGTGATACATGCCCAGTTTACTGAGGTACTTTTCTGCTGGTGGGAGATTTGGCAGAATATTGGCATTTAGGTAGAGAAAGAAGAGAACTTGAAAATTCTAGAAAGAAGTTTCTGATTCCTATTGGTACATGTTCCTTTTTGCCTCAAGAAACCTGAGGGGACACATTGAAGGCTCTGGAAGGGAGAAATTGCATGATTTGGAATGAGTAATATCTGGCTTTGAATCCCAGATCTACTACCTGCCATCTCTGTGCCCTTGGGCAAGCTACTTGATTTCTCTGAGCTTCTGTTTCCTTTTCTGTCAAATGGAGATTATGATATCTACCTTTCAGGATTATAATATAAAGCTCCTCTATCATAGTAGGTGCTCAACAAATGCTAACTATTGCTCTCCATCCCTGAGGTATAAGGCCTTCCTCACCAGGGAGCCACTTTGAAGGTTTGTCTTGAACAATCTTAGGGATTGAAAGTCTAGTAGTGTATGAGTTTAGAGATTGCTCTCCCCCAGCGATATAGGGATTAGGTGTGCTTGTCCTTTATTTGGGTTTTGAGATTAAAATAACATAGGAAAGAATCTGCTAGCCTATCCTGAAGACAGTTACATAGAAGTATGTACTTTATCTGCCACAGTCAAAAAACAGTTTTAGTGTAGATTTCCTGACACTTTGGTTCACCTCTATTTTTCTGTGTAGACCCTTGAAAAAATAGAAATTGGTTGGTAGGATAGTAGTCTGTACAGCAGAGATGGCATATTCTTTCTACTTTCCTCTCCCATGCCCAGAACAGGCTTTATCAGATTGCAGTACTTTCTCAAGGAGCCTGAATGTGATCCAGAATCCTCATCATGGAACTCTGGCTAGCCACTACTAGTGAGTTGGCATTGGCTTATGAAATGAATACCATTTGAATACCATTTATATCCGTGCCCTAAAGGATCAACTGAGCAGCAAATAAAGTATCTTCTCTGGGCCCTGAAAAAGGACAGCCTTTTACATTTTTCAAATTCTAATGCATTGGTAGATATATGTATTTATAAGTGGTAGTAACAATACAGGACCTCTCTTTCCATAGAGTACCATGATACTAGAGTGTTGTCCTTTCTCTCTAGCACTTTGCTCTAGAGAGCTCAGCTCCTTCTAAAGGTGATCCATCTGTAAACTCATCCACAGGGTTTTATAGTGCCAAGACAAGTAACTTTGCAGGCCCCCCTGAGCATTGCCTCTTAAGGCAGGGGCCTCAACCCAGGTTCTAAAGTACCCTAGCCACTGACGCATTTCAAAGAGACTACAGCGTTTGATAAGCCAAAAAGTCTCTAAAATGGATATACATTTATTTGTTCAACAAATATGAATGGAGTATCTACCCGGCAGGCACTGTTCTAGGCACTGGTGATGCAGCAGTGAACAACAGAGACACATACCGCTATGGAACTTGCATTCCAGTGGGTGGGTTTGCAGTCGTGTGCTTCCCCGCAAACGCTGTGCAGAGGTGAACTCACATACATTCCGGCTTTCAGCTGTGCTCTGACTTGGGTAATACCTCCTCAGCAGTCCTCTTCATTGTTGGTTGTCTCCTATCTCTGTGTTATCAAGGTGAGAAATTGGGGTTCAGAGAAGTAAGTTAATTTTCTCAGGGCCACACAGCAAGTAAGTGGCAAAGCTGAGTCTCGATCCTAGATCTGCTGACCTGGATTTAGGTTAAGCTCGAAATTTATTTCTTTGGTCTTTGGACAGCAAATGGGGCTTTCCAGAAGTTTCATTCATTCCATTCTCTGGTCTAGTGCACATCTGTTGAGTACCTTGTCTGGACGGTGGGCAGTGCCATTTTAGAAAGCTATAAGTATCTTCATGTGGTAACGCTTTTTATTGTGTCTCGGCTTTTCCCATCAAACTCATGGACACACACAAGCCTGTTCTGCCCCGGGAAGATTTAAACTAAGCTAAGAACAGGCTGCATTTCCTTTCTCTCACCATCTTGTGTCCCAGGTTCGAATTGCTACAGAAGGAATCAATGGGACAGTTGGTGGAAGCAAACTGGCCACCAGACTCTATGTGGAAGTCATGCTTTCCTGCCCATTGTTTAAGGATTATATGTGTGAGGATGATTTTAAGGTAAGAGAAATTGAAAATAAAATGGATTTAGAGCCATTTGCTTCTGCCTCAGTGCCTCTTCCTGCTCTAGGCCCTGAAGAGGAGAGCAGTGTGGAGAAAGAAGCAGTGCCAGATAAACACCCTTCCCCCAGTAGGCTGCGAGGCAGTGCAGTCAAAGGAGCATGCGCATTCCAGTTCTTTACGAAGTCGCCATGTGGTCTTGGGCAAGTTAATGCCCTCTTGGATTTCAGTCTCCCTTCTTGTAGAATAAAGACATGACAGTTTGCACAATCTAGCTCTAAACTTAGATATGTTTGCTCACTTGAGGGACCACCTGGCTATTTCAGGGCATCACTTTGTTTTTAGTAAACCTGGAATTACAAGACCAGCGCTTCATACCATATGGGGGATAAAGCTGTTGCTCTCACAGCTGAGCTCCTTTGTTTGAGTCACCTTGTGCTTTAGCATAGTAGGTGATAAAGGTGGGGAATACGTTACCTAGTGTTAGTGCTGGTGGTGGTAGGGAAAGAAAGGTCATTGCTCCAAAGCAAAAGCTATATATATAATGAAATCACTCAGTGGTGTTTCAGTTTTATAGTTAAATGCTTATAGTCGTAGAAACACCTTTTCAAGTTAACATTTCTGTACATGGTAGGTGTGCAATAAATATTTATTAGTGTTGAATTATCTGAAACATTTTAGGCCCTAACTCCCTTTTCCCATTAAAAACATTAGTTCTTACTTTCAGGTTTCTTAAGACTTCAGCTATCATATTATTACAGAACAGGTATAATTCTTGTATTTGGCACTTGTCTTCTTATATCCGAAGATGGGAGAGTAAGACTGTGTTCTGTTTTGCTTCCTATTGGCTAGACCAGCAAAGGAGGGGCTTGCTGTTTTCCAGAATTGCGTGTTGGTGTATTTGAAGAAATTGTGCCCATGGGGATCAGCCCCAATAAGATCTCCTACAAGAAGCCTGGTATGCTTGCTTTTAGAAGAAAAATTTTGCTTTTCTGCAGAGGGACAAAACTTGATATAGAGACAAACGTGGAAGTCAGACAGTAATCAACAATCCGCTCTTTAAAATAGCTTTGGGGTATGGAATTTAAGAAACAAAGAAAAAAGGGACAAAAAAGAATCTTAGGTACAGAGAACAAACTGGTGGTTGCTGGAGGGAAGGTGGGTGCAGTAGGTGAAGGGGATTAAGAGCACACTTGTCATGATAAGCACTGAGTAATGTACAGAATTGTTGAATTATTGTATACTTGGAGGTAATTTAACATTGTGTGTTAATTATACTTATAAGAAAATAGCTCTGGGGTAGCTAGCCTGTCAGTTATTCAGTGCTTAAACTGGTCTTCTCTTTGGCTTTATGGTAATTGAAGACTCATCCCTTAGAATGCTCTTATTCTTCCTGATGTTTTGGCAAGAAGTTGTTTTCTTGTTCCAAAGATAGCAATCTGGGAAGAGTGTAATTATTACTTGTAAATGGTTCATCAACTGAATAACACACAGGCTTTTTGCTACAGGAGGCAAGTGGCTTTCAAATCCAGAGCAGTTTGCTTGCAAGTGTTCTAGAATCTTCCCCTTCTTCCCCATGGTTACCATAGATGGTTGAAAGACATTTGTTTGGTGGGTTTTATGTTTTTGTTTTGCTTTTTACTATGAAAATTTTCAAACGTTAAAAAAAGTACAGAAAATAATACAGTGAATTCACATATACCTGTCATACAGCTTCAGCAATTACTCATTCATTGCCAGCTTTCTTCTATACCCTGTCCCCTTCCCCCATCCTGGATTATTTTGAAGGGAATTCCAATGTCATGTCATTACCTTCGTAAATATTTTAGTAGAGACCTTTAAAAGATAAACATTAAAAAAAATAACTGTAAAGCCATTATTACATCTAAATAAAACATCTTTAATAGTAATTCCTTTATCATCAAATATCTAGCCAGTATTTAAAATTGGCTAGATCAGCAAAGGAGGAACATGGTGTTTTCTAGAATTGTGTGTTAGCGTATTTGAAGAAATCCATACCCATGGGGATCTCATAATTTTTTAAGTTTTTATTAGGATTCAGGTAAGGTCCACTCATTGTGATGGATCCCTGTGTCTCTTTAAGTCTCTTTTAACCTATATCTTTGCCTCCCTTTCCCCCCCTCCCCTTTCAGTTTTTTTTTTGAAGGAACTAGGTCATTTTGTCTATAGAGTTTCCCACAGTCCGGCTAAAGCTGATTGCATCTCCTCTGACCCCTGTATTTCCTATAGATTGGTAGTTAGATTTAGAGCAGTGCTAATAGAAATCTAACGTGAGGCACATACGTAATTTTATGTTTTTTATTAGTCACATTTCAAAAGTAAAAGGAAATGAGAAATTCATTTTAATAATATGCTTCAATGCAATGTAGCCAAAATATTTCCATGAGTAATCAATGTAAAAAACTACTAATGAGATAGTTTACCTTTTTTTGCTTACTAAATGCTTGAAATCCTGGATCTGTGTCACCCTTATTCTGGCACATCTCCGGCCACATTTCAGGAGCCTGATATCCCCATGTGGCTAGTGGCCATTCTGTTAGATACCTCAGATCCAGAGACTTGGTTGGATTCAGATTTGACTTCCTTTTTCTTTCTTTCCTTCTTTTTCCCCCCCAAGACTGTCTGATAGGTAGTATTGTCCTCTTTCATCAGGAAGCACAAAAGTCTGGTTGTCTCTGTTCACTTCCCAGTATGTAGCTATTGGCACAAGAGCTAGGGGTTAAGCCAGAGGGAAACGGGAGTAGGATGCAGAGATCCAGGAACAGAGAGCCCTGCACGAGGAGAGAAGGGCCCAAAGGAGCGTGTCCGCACAGCGTCCCTCCCTCAGCAACGTGACGGAAGAGCTCTTTCTTGGTGGTATGGGCCATTGCTTGGGAGGTTAGGGGAGAGTGGGCTCCAGGCGATGCTGGGCTGCTCTCATTTGGACCACGTTGTTTGAAGGCACCTCTTGTAAACATACCCCTACGAGTCCCTGCCCAGTCAGGCCTTCACAGGACCAGGAGAGCAGCATCGGGGACAGGTTTGGTTCCCCATAGCACCCTGTCGGTATAAATCTTAGCAGATTTCCATGCTTCTCATCACAGTTTTGAACCTCCCTTTGCAACCCCCCCCCCCCGTTTTGGTGACCGTGTCATTAGGTGATAATAACAAATCAATTCTGGCCTCATTACATTCGCCTTACAATTCTGGGTTGGGCGGGTAGGAATCCAGATTCTTTGACCATGCTCTGGGGCCTCCAGCCCCACCTGGGTACTTGGCAGCTTCAGGTGGTTGTTGGGGTTCACCTCTGAGCAGAATGAGGTTCCTTTGGTGCCATCAGGCTCTACCACGAGTGGTGACTGCCATCCCCAGAGCCCCTGTCCATGAGCGGTGGTTACTCCCTACTGCCGACTTCACAAGCAACTGGGATGTCTGGACCTCCAAAGACACAGGAATACTTCTATTCTAGAGAGTTGAGAAGGCCAGGGACCCCACCAGACTGAGGTGCTCTCCCTTCAGTCCCCCTGGATTTTACTTCCTTTCTTCCCCTCCTTTCTTTCCTGCCTGCCTTAGCTTTTCCCTCCTTCTCTCCCCCTGCCCTGCTCTCTCATGTGTCACTCCTACCGCCAGCCCCTGCCACCCTTTCTCTTTCACTCAGGCACACAGACTTAGACACATTCTTCTTACTCTTTGGTATTTATAAAGAACAGTCCAACTTTATTCCACAAATTTATACTCTAAGCTGCCTGTCGAGGTTCTTAGCCTTGAACTTGTGTTATAGTCAAAAGCCTGTAGTCAGGCACATACATGCCTAGGCTCTTCCACATACAATGAAAATAGAACGCTGGCTGTATAATGGACCAGCAAACCCACATGGCAATTTAGATCCCAACTGTCTGGCTTTTACCACTGGGTTAGACCAAGTATGAGAATGGAAAATTCTTTGACTAATCATTTCTAAACCTCCAGGTCTCCATAGTGCTTCTCTTTGGAGGAAGGAAAGTGAGGATTATCTGGACTCACTAAATAATTTCATCATGGTCATCAGATAGTGTTATTTTCAGACATAATTACAATTATGAAAAAAGTTTTGGGTGGAAGGAAACAGAGCAACATCTAAGTCATCAGGCTGGGCTAGCTGTGATTGGGTTTTGGTTTTTGTTTTTGTCTTGTTTTAAGTAAATTTTTGGTTTGGTTTTAGGGATCCATTTATCCCCAGGTGAATTTCATAAAGAAGTAGAAGAATTTTTGTCTCAGGCAAATGAAGAACAAAATGATACTATCCTACTGGATTGCAGAAACTTCTATGAAAGCAAAATAGTAAGTAAGGACCAGAAGTGAGTTCAGTGAAATGGTAGGTTCCCCCTTCCCACATCATGGCATGTTTGCCAAGTGATGCGTGTATGCCTACCTGTGGCCAAGTCACTTAGATCTCCCCCCACTGCTAACAGCTTCGGAGAAAACCCAAGCCTTTGAACTCAGGATCTGGTGAAAAAGTCTAAGAAAAGAGGAATTAAAGACGTCTTCGCACATAATGTACTTCTTGGCTCCCATGTGCCTACCTTTGATGTGTGTCGAGGATCCTATAAAGTTGACTTTGGGCCGCCTCTCCAGTTCCCCTAAGGACTCTGGGAAGATGACCCAGAGCCCACCAGCCTTGTTTCTGAGTTCCAGATCTTGAAGTTGAAAGATTAGAGTGCAGGATGAGAACAGCAGCTAGTAGTGAGTGCTCCCTTGCCAAGGGGCTCTGAGCGGGGTCGACACATGCTTTGTTCTTACCAGGTATATTTTTCTGATAATCTTCCTTCTGCTTCTCCTATATCGTAGGGACGATTCCAGGGCTGCTTAGCCCCAGACATCAGGAAATTCAGTTACTTCCCTAGCTACATTGACAAAAATCTAGAACTTTTCAGAGAGAAGAAGGTACTGATGTACTGCACTGGGGGCATCCGTTGTGAGCGGGGTTCAGCCTACCTCAAAGCCAAGGTGAGTTAACACCCTTGGGGGCACTGCGGGCTTTGGAGGTAAAGAAGGCTCCACCAACAGCATGTGTTGAACTTTCCACCCCCCACAGCACCCCCCTCCCACCCCCAGCCCGCCAGGGATTTATTTTGCCCTTGAATCGTTCCAGCATAGAGTTTATAAGTACAAAATCTGAAGTTCTTAAATCTCAAGATGTGGGAAAGCACTTCACAGTCTTAGAGCCTCATCAAGTACAGAAGGGAAAGCTTAGTTAACCTCTCCCTTTTCCTAATCCTTATGCTTGATCCTGAGAAGAACAAATTCACATTACATGTTCCAACAGGTGTTTTTCTATATTTAGGGGGCAGCAAAAATAGCTGGGCTTCCCAGGATCTAGTGAAGGCCCTGACTGCTCTCATCACCTGCCACTCGTCTGTGGAGCTTCTTACCAGTCTTTGCCTGTCTCCTCAAATTTCCTTATTTTTCCTCACACAGGGAGTGTGCAAGGAAGTGTTCCAGCTCAAGGGTGGCATCCACAAGTACCTGGAGGAGTTTCCCAATGGTTTCTACAAAGGGAAGTTGTTTGTTTTTGATGAGCGTTATGCCTTATCCTACAACAGTGATATAGTGTCAGGTAGGTCAGCACAGGCTGGACCCTAAACTCATGATCAGGCATGTTCTCTCTATGAACCATTCTGGAAGGCAGGCCAGTACTGGTTATGTGAAGAAAACAGGGAAAAGAAGTAACGTAGTAGGACCATTTCCCAGCAGAGTTGGAGATGCAACAGTGGAACAGACAAAACCCTGGACCAGGAACCAGGAGGCCTGTCCTGGGTCCCAGCCTCCCTATTTAGTTAGGCAAGTCTTTTACAGTGGGGATGATGTCACTTGCTCTGCCTCCTTGCTGGGAGTTGAACTAATAGGCTGAAACAAAGGTCTTAACCAGGAGTTGTAGAATTTGGCAGTTCTGTGTGAATTTGGATGGGAAAATAATTATATCTTTATTTTCACCACCCCACGCTATATGTCGCACTTCCTTTGATTGTTAATGTAAGCAACAAATCAGTAATGTTAGATGCACCAGTGACTTTGTCATCAACAGAAACCAAAATATTTTCATATATTATAGTTGCTGCAGACTTCTCCAAATAGCATTTCTGTTCATCATTGTCTCAAAGTAGTAGTTATTAGCCCTCCACCCCTGTCTTATTTATTTAATGTGTTAATATAATGTCTTAACTATATCACAGGTTTTTAAAAATGTTTTGATATTTTGTATTTCCATATAATCGGTTTCCTTTGTAATGCTATGTATTTTAAGAACCTCGAGGTCTATAGACACATGTGGTAGGTTAGGTACTTTTGAGTGGTGGCTGGGGCAGTCCAAGAGGCAGGGGTGGCCACAAGAGGGTATGCACAAGAGGCCTGTGGTTTGATTGTAATTTTAAGTCCTCAAGTGTCAGATGAGGTCAGTAAAAGGGGGATGGAAATAATCTTTTAAGAAAAGTGGCTCTTGCCCCTGGATGCCATAGTTTCAAACAGGAAAGGTCATAGGCAGACAACCCTAGTGGCTCTTATAATTTTCTAGAACTCCTGTGATCAGGGACTAAGACTGAATTACCAGGGTGATAAGTGAATAAGATTTAAGTATGATTGCCTTCTCCCCTTTCTTCGTGATCTTTTTATTAATTTTAATGGCGTTATATTTGTGTCTCTTATTGAAAGCCACTCGAAATCTGTTTTGGGAGCTAGATGGAGTATAAATTATAAATAACTAGAAATAGTGGATTTGAGAAATGTTACTGAGGAAATGTTGGCAGGATTTGACGGGTACTTGCATGTGAGTGTGAAGACGAGAGAGAAGGCCCAAAGGTAGCTTAGCTAATACTAATTAAGGAGACTTGAAGAATGATGTTGTCAGTGCTAACAGGAAGTCGGCCAGGAAACATGGGCTGAGAAAATAGATAATGAGAATCTTTTAGGAATCGAGTGGCGAGGTGTCCATTAGCAACAGCAGAACTTCAGGCTTGGGGAGGAGGGGCGTGGACTGCAGAAGCTGAATATAGGTGTGGGATCATTTGTATTCACGTATGTTGTCTCCCATGAAAAAGGGAATGATCTAAAGGAAAAAGACCACTGAACTAAGGGGTAGTTGGCCAGCTTTGGAATGAAGAAACAAAACTACCTGTTTTCTAAATAGGAAAAAGAAAAAAATGGGTCACTGAATGTTGGAATCAGGAAGACAATTCCCAGATGTCCCACCTCCCACAAATAGTGGGGGTGAGGGAACAGTTTTTATTAGAGGACAGGAGACTTACTAACTTAAACCTTCCCAGGCCCAACGGGGTATATTAGCTGATGTGCCAAGAGTTATATTTAGGACCTGGAGAAGTACCTGTCTTCATGGTACACATGTATGTGTTTGGAACTAGGGCTTTTCTTTCTTCCCCAGAATGTTCATACTGTGGAGCCCCATGGGACCAGTACAAACTCTGCTCCACTCCCCAGTGCCGCCAGCTCATCTTGGCCTGCCCTGCTTGCCAACGACAAGGATTCACAGCCTGTTGTGTCACATGTCAAGACAAAGGGAGGAGGCTGGCTTTGAGTCCCACCCAGAGCAGCTTTAAAGAGGAATGTGAGTGTACAGCCCGACGGCCACGCATACCCAGCGAACTGCCGCAGCAGGTGCGCCTCCCTGTGAGCCCCAGGCCAAGGCCGGGTGTTGGTGAGCACAGGCCATGCTCACGTGAGCGGCAGCAGCAGGATTTCCCTAGGCCTTCACAAAGCTAGTTCACAGTGACCACACATTGGAGAGTGTCAGAGCTGCAGCAACAGAAACTTGAACTTGAGTGCTGGCCATGCCAGCATCGTAAACTGGGTACGATATTGGCCACCTGAACTTCAGAGGGGCCGGGAAGAGGGAGTTGGGTGCTGACCACTTACCTGAGATATTTGACTCAGAAGATGCCAGAGCACAGAAAAAGGTGAGCTGTGTAGGATCCCAACGCTGCTGGGGGAGAGAGCCTTGAGCCTGGTGACCAGGTCATGCCCTCTCTGTGCCATGCAGCAGGCTGGTAGTAGTCATTTGTCTTGTCAGCAGACCTGGTGATCCTGGTGGCAAAAGCATGAAAGCTATAGCCCTGGAGGGTGACTCCTCAGAAGCAGGCCTCTCCTGCTACCTACCATCACCTACATCCACTCCTGCCCTCATCTCTGGCAGCCTGAGAAACTCAGTCAGGATCTGCAGACCATGGCATGTGATTCGCCTTCTGCTTTTGTAAATAAAGTTTTATTGGAATAGCCCCACCTGTTCATTTACATATGATCTATGGCAGAATTAAGTAGTTACAACAGAGACCTGCAAAGCCGAAAATATCTGCAATTTGGCCCCTTTACAGGAAAAAATTGCCATCCCCTGGTCTAAACCCAACATCCCCAGGTCTAAACCCTGCTCACCTGATGGAACAGGTGGTCTGAAAGGTGGCCCACCTTCATTTTTGATTTGGTTTCTGTGAGTGCTCTCTCCCTAAAAGTCTTTGCTTCCCCCAGTACCCACACTCTTAGCTTTTAAGTATGCTCTTTGAAAGATTCACATTAGCTTGAGGACACTGATGTTTGGGGCAGTTTGGAGATGAACGTCGCGGGATATAACCACATTTTGAGTGAGGTCATTCGGCACTGCCGGAGTAGTTTCCCAGCCTCTGGCCAACATGTCAGGTGCATGTCCAGGTCACACTAGCCACAAGAAACACATACACAACCATCCACAGACCAACAGATTTAATATTATATTGCAGTTTCCAGTGATGCAGAATACAGCTGCAGTTGTGTTTCAAGGAGAAGCCTAGTGGGGCCGGCCATCCCAACAGTGTGGTGCCACTCCCGGGCCCATCTGCAGCCTTAGTAGACACTCTTCTGTAGTGGTGAGGCCCTGGCTCCACCTCTGGTTACCCTGTACCGGCCACATCATTACAGTTCAGTGTGCAAGACTTCCTTTTTCGTCAAAAGCCTCTGCTCAGTGCTCCACAGCTTAGTCCGTGCTCGTCAGCTCTTTGGCCTGTCCTTTATCATAAGATTTACTGAATCACTCATGAAAATAACTCCCAAGCAACAGAAATGCTAGTTTAACTGGCACTGTGGCATATTAAAAGGCACAAGGGCATTGTGGCTTAACATTTTTGCTGGATCCCAAGAGATACGCATGATGTTAAAAAGGGATCTGGCAGAAACACCATTATTACATTTTCAGAATAATCATCTTGGGATGGTTTGGCCAGGGTTTCCTAATTCTTTAATACCTGGATTTTCTTCACCGTTGGCTTTCAGAGCCTTAATTTACAGGCATGAGATCAGTGGTGACTTGTCTAATAAGTGATGTGACACATGGTTGGAGTCTGTAAGCATACCTGCGATGGACTAGAAATTTCTCTCTAGTGTTTTACCTCACATAAGCCATTGGACCACTGTGCAATGTGGAAAGGTATTTTCAAGTATTTGGCTATAGGTTTTCACATTGCAGATGGCATTCAATAAGGAAAAAATTCTTTCCGATTCCAATATTAAACTGTAAATAGATCCCAGATGTTCATAAAGAACAGTCAGGGAAATGTTTGTTGCCTGGGATTGGTAAAGAAAGGATGGTTTATTGAAACTTGAAATTCCACCGTTGGCTTTTCCATCATTTCCTTGTGTCCAGCAAAAGGAATCTCACGTTCCTGGATTCCTGGCAGAGCTCTGTGGCTTCAGTCTCTCTTTCTTGAAGGGCAAAATTGTGTTCCTGACCCAGTAATCAATTTGGCAACTTTAATCTTGAGGTTTTTCAGATTTAAAGGAGGGCCAATAAAGAATGAGGATCTGTTTGCTAAATACCTAAGATCAAATTCATAATAAAGGATTTTATAATGCTTCCCCACCATGCGGAAGAGTGGGCTGTTTGTTCCTATGTTACACATTCTAAGTATCCCTGAAACACCACGCAGCAAGGCCACCGAAACTGGTCTCCCAGGGCTAAGTCCTGCTGCTAGAACATCTTCAGTAAGATCTGTCGGTTTGGGATCTTCTTAGTTTTTAAATAATAACCAGACTGAACTTCTGTGACTAAAGAAAAACTTCACATTAACCATAGTTTATAAAATTTTCAACTACAACCACTAGTTAACCTAAAACCTTAGTGCATAAAGAACTGAACCATGAAAGGGTTTTGTGCTGGCATTTTGCCTTCTGGTTTCCACTGCAGAGCACAGATTATCAGTAGAACTTGTGCAGTTCAAAGGCACAGTCGTCCCCTCCACACACTAGACGCCACTTCGGACCTTGGGAATGATGGGCCCAGTCAAGTCTGCGAGCCTCCTCTTCCTCACTGGAAAGGAATGGAGAGGAGAGATAAGCCAATTGACCCTGTGCACCCGGAACCACCTCTGCGGCTCTGAGAAAGCTGTGTGAAGCTTCTCGCTAACTTTTTGGTTAGCAAGGTCTGAAGTCTGTTGTTTTGAAAGGACGGTTTTGTGTGAGTTGTGTAAGGGCCCTCCCACTGGTCAGCGTTCCCTGATGAGGGTCTGTGGTCATGTTGACTCATTCATAAATTATTGCTAAGCTGCCCACCACACAGGCATAAAACCCACTTTATCCACCTCCGTGTTTACTTTGTCCACCAGAGGCCCTGCAGTTGAAGGTCTTTCCTCCTGCTCAGATTAAGAGCTAAAGTTCAGTTGATCTTAATGAGGTATAGGGTCTTAACCTGCTGGAATCATTTCCCACAGCTCTTTCTCAGAGCTCCTGGCCTGCCTCCTGCCTTGTGTAAAAAAAAAAAAAAAAAAAAAAGTTTCCACCCTGAAGATTACCCTGCAGTATCTGTGTCCCCTTAGTGTTAACCTTGACATTTTCCCAGGGGCAAGACAACAGAAGCTCAACTACTGTTCACATAACAAAGTAGGTAAGTGCCATAAAGAGGAAAGCACTAGCCAGGAGGTTGCAGGCTGGAGTCATTACTTGTCAGATGATGGAAGGGGGGAAGAGCGGTCCTGTGTGGTAATAAAGGAAAAGTGTTTTGAAATGAATTACAGTGTCTGCAGATGAAGACCAAACAGCAAGCTAGATCAGCCACAAGAGAAAGGTCAAAAAGACGAAAGCCATGTTATTTCACTTATATGAGGAATCTAAAAACAAATGAATAAGCATACAAAAATAAACAGATTCATAAATACAGAGAACAAACTGGTGGTTGTCAGGGGTAAGGGAGATGGACAAAATAAGTGAATGAGATCAAGAGGTATAAACTTCCAATTATAAGATAAATGAGTCATGGAGATGAAAAGTACTGCATAAGGAATATAGCCAATAATACTGCAGTAACAACTGTGTGGTGACTACTTATGATGAGCCCGGAGTAATGTATAAACTTGAATCACAATGTTGTGCACCTGAAACTAATAGAACATTGTACGTCAACTATACTTCAATTAAAAAAAAAAAGTCCCAAGAACCCGGTAGGGGACAGTCAAGGAGGCCGCTGGTGTGGCAGAGATAGGTATTATTACTGCAGAAGAGGAAAGAAGTCTGTCTAGACTTAGGTCTTCCAGTTCCCTAGCTGAGCCCGTAGACCTGCGGCCACCGGATCACTGCATACAAGCTGCAAGAAGAACCCAGTCAGCTTGTGCGGGACACTGAGCATGTAGAGCAGAACCACCCAGGAAGGAGTGGTACTCGGGTTGTGGCTGGGAGCCGGGGCACACAGCTCACCCAGTTTGGGGCCTGGAGTTCAGCCTGTCCCTGAGCTCCTTCCCACCCCTCTGCCCCTGTCAGAGAATAATGAATGCAAATCAGTGGACTGTCTTCCTGGAGAGAAGACACTGCGTGCAGCCCAGGTCCTGGATGCCATCAGAATGTCCAGCAGCTTGGGAGAAAAGGTCAGGGAATAAAAACCAAAACCCAAAGAGCAGAAAAGTTTCACCCAACATGACCAGAGAGTTTACATGAGCCAGACGCTTAAGTATCACCACGTTAGCTTATGCAAGCATGCCCCGCAGGGCAGTCCTCATTCCACCTCTTTTACACCCAAGACCTCATCGAAGCCCCACCACCAATTCTGGAATGTCAGTGTTGTTATCTTTCCCATGTTAGGGAGCAGCAAAGTAGGGCAGAGAGGCTACATTTCGTGTCTGAAGCAATAAAGCTGGTACTAGACAGAACCAGGGTTGTAGCTCATCTGGAGCGTCAGTCCAGCATGTCCCTCAGTACAGTCTGGGCCTGTCCACGTAGGGCCTACACAGCTGATTCTCGCAAGGGTATCAGCTCCTTTCCCCTGGAGAACAAAAGGGAGCTAGAGCCCCTAAGAGCTAGCGGCAGAATCAGGACGGGAACCTGAGTCCCCAGCCCATGGCTCAGGGTACAGACAGGGATCCCAGGTCCCCCCCACCCCCGCCCCATCCATGCCCTCTTTGTTTTCCCTGGGCAGGAGCGGTGCGGCTCCCCAGCACTGGCTCTGACGGGGACTGGATGGGGACAAGGGCAAGGCACGCACTTGCTTAGGTATTATTCTTCTCCATTTTCATGACGAAGGAAATTGAGGCCAAGAGAGGGAAGTAAGTTGGCCCAAGTCACAAGTGAATAAGTGACAGAATCGGAAGCAGAAGCCAAGTCTCCTAACATCTTCCTTCAATTCAGTCTGCTTTTTACTTCCCCTAAAGCAAAACGCTCATCACTGCAACTGCCAGACTTGTTCACTGTCTGAGCCAGAAGGCATCTCGAGTCATCCGGACCAACCTCTACCCGCTGCTCAGGCTCCTTCCGCCACTTCCTGCCAAGCTCGAACACCTCCATCAGGTCTTTGGGAAGCATTTTAAATTCATTTATGTGTTCATTTACTGAGTGCTCTTATGTGCCAAGCATAAGGATCAGAAATAAAGATCTAGCTTAACAGGGCACCAAGCGATACCAACAGTGAGTTTGATAAAATATTATAGGTACCCTGGTAGCTATGGGAGTAGCAGGCATAATGAATGCTGTGGTCAGGACGGCAGGGAACGTGTGCAGCGAATCCGGAGGGATAAAGGGGCAGACTGAGAAGGGAAGGGGAGGGTTAGTAGGGGCCCCCTACAGGGATACTTTGGCACTCAAGCTCCCGGGACCGGTTGGTGCTAATACGGGCTAAGAGGATGTCTTGTCCAGCACGGCATCACCCCGGGGGGCGCGCGGGGGGCGCAGGCTCCGAGGTGAGACTGCAGCTCAAACCCCACTTCCACTCACTGACTACAGGTGACCGTACCTACTTCTCTGCACCTCCACTTCCTGTAGAGTGGGGGTGA